GTCGGTCTGGCGGCTATGAGGTCGCCGTCGCCGTCCCAACGCAACCTAGTCGCCGCCCGTGGTCTGGGCTCGTTTGTCGGCTCCGCCGCCTCGTAGCTGCAGCACTGGCCGCACCACATAAATTGCGCCGTCCAGATTGCACAGTATCAGTTGCACAGCGCAACTGAACAATATCGATTGCACCACATAAGTTGTTCTGGGTTGCACGATCTGTATATCCATAGTACGACATGTAACGTTCCTGTCCAAAAACATAAGCTTTACCCCCCCCCGTCGGATTTACCGACGCCCCTGGAACCAATGCAAAACACATATGGTCCTGACCCAAACTCCATCCGACCTGTGAATTCCCACTATCCCAGGCCAGTGTCGCTACTCCCTCGGTTCCCGAGCAATACAATACTATGCCCGCGCTCGCTCATCATAAATCAGAATGTTCCAACAACCATTTGCAATACATGGGGCGAAAAGCACACGCGCGCGTCGTCGCGCGCGCATCCACTAATCGTTCTAAAACCTCGAATTCGGAAGGTTCGAAACCAACTGTCCCACACATACAGGAAAATCCAGGTTTCGCAGCACGGGTTTTCAACAGAAGCGCGCGCGCTTTTGCGAAATATTACGACACCATATTTTTCAACATTGACATGACATGGGCTTCGCGCGCGCATGTCGAAATCGTCCGAACGACCTCGCACGAGTGCTGGGGTGGCACGATCCGTGTCTAATAGTACCATGCGAGCTACTCTCTCGCGTCTGCCGCGCGCGCATAATTCGAATGCCTTCCAAAGCCTTCATTACCGACGCGACGACGCCGTCATCGTCGGCGTGATCAGCATCGGCGCCGTCACTGGCTACCCCGTCGTCGCTGACAACATCGTCGCCAACATCGCTACTAACATCATCGTGTCTACCGTTGCCGGCGTTGCCATGATGCCACGCCCGCCCAAGTCGCCGCCTCGCACTGAAGTGCCCGCTGGGATGTGCCGAACGGTCCTCGCCACTGCGTTCGCGTCGGTCGCGACAAACTAGTTGTCCATTCCGCGCGCGAGCATGCGCGGGCTAGCGCGGCCGCAGAGATGCACCAGCCAACACCCAGCACTCATCGCAATCGCTCCCGCATGGGTTTTGCAAACAAAGTTGCAAGTTGGTGGGTGGGATGATTGCGCGAGCAGTGGAGCTGACAACTTCAGATTCGGCGAGCGAATGCACCACGTAGGTTGCGCCACATACACTGCATAGGTTGCAAGACGCGGATTGCACAACATCGACTGCACAACACGTGTTGCACAACAGAGGTCGCCCTTCATACATTGCCCCACATGGACTGATCAACATATACCACATGCCACAACCTGTGTTGCATGTACGGAAAGAGATGCAATGTTTGGAGTCGACGGCGGCTCACATATTTGTTGAATGCACGAAGAGTGATAGTACCACCCGTCTAATACCCCAACGCATGGCAATGCTCACGAATCAGACTACGACTACGACTACAACTACGACTACGACTACGACTACGACTACGACTACTACTACTAGTACTACTACTACTACTACCACTACTACTACTACTACTACGACTACTACTACTACGACGACTACTACTACTACTACTACTACTACTACCACTACCACTACCACTACCACTACCACTACCAGTACCACTACCACTACTACTACCACTACTACTACGACTACTACTACTACTACTACTACTACTACTACTGCTGCTGCTGCTGCTGCTACTACTACTACTACTACTACTACGACTACGACTACGACTACGACTACGACTACGACTACGACTACGACTACGACTACGACTACGACTACGACTACGACTACGACTACGACTACGACTACGACTACGACTACGACTACTACTACTACTACTACTACTACTACTACCTCTACTACTATTACTACGACTACGACTACGACTACGACTGCGACTACTACTACTACTACTACTACTACTACGACTACTACTACGACTACGACTACGACTACTGCTACTACTACTACGACTACTACTACTACTACTACTACAACTACTACTACTACGACTACGACAACAACTACTACTACTACTACTACTACTTCTACTATTACTACTACTACTACTGCGGCTATTACTACTACTACTACTACTACGACTACTACTACTAAGAATAATACGGCTACGACTAATTCGAAAATTAAGGGTGCTGTTAAGACGATGGTGGCGCAGAGCACTACGAATAAGGCTTACGACTGCTCTATGTCTACGACTACGACTACGACTACGACTACGACTACGCCTACGACGACTACTACTACTACTACTACGACTACGACTACGACTACGATTACGACTACGACTACTACTACTACTACTACTACTACTACTACTACTATTACTACGAGTACTACCACTACTACCACTACTACTACTACTAGTACTAGTACTAGTACTACTACTACTACTACTACTACTACTACTACAACTACTACTACTACTACTACTACTACTACGACGACGACGACTACTACGACTACTACTACTGCTACAACAACTACTACTACTACTACTACCACCACCAGCGCGCCTACTACCACTCCTGCTACCACTACTACTACCACTGCTATTACCCCGACTACTCTAGTACCGCCTACTACTGCAACTGCTTTGACGACCGCAAAGTAGAAACTACACTAACAGCCCGAACGGGGCCAACGTCGCCAGGCCGACTCAGGACCAGGGGCAACGCAGGGCGAACGCTGCCTGGCCGATCCAGGATCAGGCCAGAGCTCTGCAGACAAGATGCTTAAGGAGCCTCGACTCTCGAATCTCCGCCTGCTCCTACGCTTGGGACTGAGGCACCCCTTCTCCTTGTCTTCCGGCGCGGTCTCCCGCGCGCGGAAGGGGAGGATCAAATAAGGGATGGAGAAGTAGGTAGGAGAGAGGAGGGGTGGGGAGAAGCAGGAGGAGGAAGAGGGGACGGGAGGAGAAGATGGTACGGGGGTGGAGAAAGGATTTCTCAGCATGGACCATTCACCTGCCGACCTCTTGACTCGGCAGAGGAGGGAGGAGGGAGAAGAGGGGGAAGGACGAGGATGGGGAGAGAATGATCGTGAACATTATGAGGACTAGGATTAAGTCGGGCCTCTGCCGCTACAGGGGGATTTTCGACGAAAATTAAAATACACCCCACAATTAATCCAAGAATAGTCCACAAATAGTCAGGGGACTAGTTTGAATATTGTTTGACCTTTTTGGGGTATTGTTGGGGTATATTTGTTGAATTTTTTTCGTCGAAAATCCCCCTGTAGGGGGACACGCTCGACATAAGACTAGGAGGAGGAGGAAGGAGGGAGCAGAGCGGCGCTCTCCTGCCACCCAGCCATCTGCTCGACCTGGGCATCGGACGCCACCAGGTGCAGCTCGGCCTCCTGCGCCCCCAAGGCTGGCGCGAGGGCTGCACACTGGCGGCGACGACTGCCACGACTGCCACGACTGCTACGGCAGCGACCGCAGCGACCACGACGCCGACGAGGACGAGGACGATGACGACGACGAGGACGACGAGGAGGAGGAGGAGGACGACGACGACGACTGCGACGGCCAGCGACGACGTCGGCCGCGGTGGCGGAAACGACCAGCGACGACGACGACGGCGACAGCCGGCGACGACGACCGCAACGGCGACGGCGACAGCGACAACGGCGGCAGCGGCGACCACGGCTCTGACCGCGGCTGCGGCGACGGCGACGGCCGCCGTCGCGAGGCCGCGCGGATTTCGGTCGACCCGCCGAAGAGCCGGGCCGAGCTGCGCCGCCATTGCGCCGCCGCAGCGCCGCACGGGCGGCGGCAACACGACGGCGCTGCGTTGGACAACCCGTGGGAGCCTCCCATACCATCTTGCTGGCTCCTACGAACGAGTGGAAGCTAACCGATGTTAATCGACGCCAGATCGACGCTAAATCGGAGCTTCCTCGATTATCAGTCGCTAGCGCACGCTTTAGCAATCTCAAGACGAAACTACGAGGCTCCCATGACATCAAGACCCTACTTCGACCCTGACGTCCAGACCGCTACCCTCCCGACCTGACGTGGACCAGGAGGGAGGGAGGGAGGCGGGAGAAGGCCCCACGCCGGAGGAGAAGATGGAGGAGGAGGAGGAGGAGGAGGAGGAGGAGGAGGAGGAGGAGGAGGAGGAGGAGGATGAGGAGGAGGAGGAGGAGGAGGAGGAGAGGAGGAGGAGGAGGAGGAAGAGGAGAAGGAGGAGGAGGAGGAGGAGGAGGAGGAGGAGGAGGAGGAGAGGGAGGAGGAGAGGGAGGAGGAGGAGGAGGAGGAGGAGGAGGAGGAGGAGGAGGAGAAGGAGGAGGAGGAGGAGGAGGGTGATGAGTTTTGAGGTTCTGTTAGCCAGGGCGAGGCGGAGGCGGATCGACCCCCACATCGACCCTCCGAGGGCGGTGCGTTGGTCACCCCGACATCGAAACCGCCGCCCCAGCTCCGCGCAGCGCGCCGCGCGGGCCGCAGCCGTCTTCGCGCCCCCGCGCCCTCCTGCCGCCCCCTGGAAGGCGGGCGGCCGCTGTGGCCCAGACCGGATCGCGCGAGGCGCGATCATCTCCGCGCCCCCTGGGTGAGCTAAAGTCGAGGTACAGTCGGCCCTGATTGGACAGGACACGCGAGACCCTTCCGAGGGCCACATCGCCATAGGAGTGTAGGAAGACACGTATCGCGAGGCACAGGACGCAAGAGTACCCTTGAGCTGGCAGGGTCGACCTACTAATCCAGGCCGACTGTACAGTCGGGGTGCCACCAGAAGGAGTGCCGAACGTGAGGAACGAAGCCCTCTGTCGGACCCAGCAGCGCCAGGTGCACGAGGAGGGCTAGAGGAACAACCACGGAAGGCTCCAAGGAGCAGAGAGCCCCTTCCGACCCCAAAGCGATCCTTGTCTCAGCGCCTTGGCCGTAGGCTCCCGACTCGTTACGGTCGAGGCGTTGCCTCGAGAAGGCAGGTAAGGAACACGAGGTCCCTCGCCGAAGGCCGCAGACCCCCGAGGCCCCATGTCGGGGGCGGCCAAGAAACGGGGCGTCCAAGGGGGGGGGAGGGGGCGCAAATCGTGGCCAGCGGCATGTGCGCGGCCCAGGGGGGGCGGGGGCAGGGACGTAATGTAATAAGAAGAGGCGCCATGAAATATGAGGGAATCTCATTGCCCACGCCATGATATCCACCCCCCTAGTCATCACCCCCCTCTTTGCCGCCTCCGACCATGGAGGCACCCAAAGCAGAGAACATTCTCGGTCGGAGGGCCAGAACACAAGAAGAAGAGAAGAAAGCTACTCTGGGCTTGCTTACGTACTCAAGCTTCGCATTTGTGGGCCTCCTGTGGGGACCCACGCGGTTTGGTTCGCCTCGAAACCCTTGTTGGGGAGCAGCGGTATCCGTATCGTTTTGCTCTGCCCCCCTGCGGTGCAGGGTCGGTCTTCGGTGCGTCGGGCATGCGTGCGCCTGCCTATCAGGAAAAGCATCCCTGAGATCCGACGTTGCAAAATACATGCAACATCGCACAACAACATCACGACCAGAACCCTGGACCCCATCTGTCTGTTTTCGAGACGGATCGATCTGCGAGGGTGATGGGCCCGAAACTGGGCGAAAATGTCGGCCAGAAAAGAGCACCGCGCACTCCGGGCTCCATGCAATCCACCCGTATAATAAGGACGCACGATCAATATGCAAGGGCCGTGAAGCCGAGGATTGGCCGAAGGGGGAGGATGCAAGGGTAACCTTGGAAAGCCGCTCATCCCTTATATGCAGGTTCGCTGAAATAAGCACGGGGAGGGCGCCGCGCCCGCCGCGAGCCTCACATCGACCCCCGTCGAAGACACCGATCGAGCCCGAAGGTGCCGCAGCTGCTACCTCCTTCTCATGCACCTGCCCCTCTCCACCTTCATCTTATCCTGCTCCTCCTCCTCCTCCTCCTCCTCCTCCTCCTCCTCCTCCTCCTCCCCGTCCTCCTCCTCCACCTTCTCATCAAATCCGCCGACCCCTTGGGGTCACGGCGTGTGATGTGAGATGTTTCCCCTTTCCCAACCTGACCAAACAAAAACGGGAAGCGTCGCTTCAGTCCACCAAGCATGTGGAATATGCTTTGTTGCTGTTACGCCGCGAAGGTATGCCGTGGCGCGCGTGTCGGCGTGCGTGCGGGGTGTGTGTTGCTGTGTTCCTGTGTGTTCTGCCGTGCTCCTGTTCTGCCGTGCTTGTGTTCTGCCGTGCCTCTGTGTGCTCTGTGTGTTCTGCCGTGCTCCTGTATTCTGCCGTGCGGATCGTCGCGGTGGTCGTTTTGGCGGAGCTTTTGGGCGCGCACGGCAGAAAAAAGACCAGAAGCACGGCAGAATAGGCCCGAAGAGCGAAGGAGCACGGCAGAAAAAGACCAGGAACACGGCAGAATAGACCCCAAGAGCAAAAGAGCACGGCAGAATAGACCCCAAAAGCAAAGGAGCAGGCAGAAAAAAACAGGATCACTGCAGAATGGGCCCCAAGAGCTAAGGAGCGCGGAAGAAAAAAGACGAGGAGCACAGCAGAATAGACCCCAGGAGCTAAAGAGCAGGGGTGCATATGCCCCAAGTGCGAAGGAGCACGTCAGAGAAAGGCCAGGAGCACAACGAATACACCCCAAAAGCCAAGGAGCACGGCAGAAAATGAACAGAATTCGCCGGCCCAACGGGCCAGGGCGTGCTAAGATCTCCGGTAACTGGTTAACAGTATTAACAGTATTTCTAGTTCGCGCGCGCGGGGCGGCCCCTGGGGGTCCCCCGGCGAAAAGTACCCCGACCAACGCCCGGCCGCCGCCCGACCAAGTCTACTCAGAGATGGTTTCCTTCTGGGTGCGGCCTCTCAGGCTCCCCAGAGCGCGCTCAGAGTGCCCCAAGAGGCCCCCAAGACTGCCCAAGAGGCCCCCGAGACGCCCAAAGAGCGCTCGAAGACGCCGAAGATGACCCCAAGACGGCCCAAAAGGCCCCCAAGACAGCCCAAGAGGCCTCCAAGACGCCCCAAGAGCCTTCCAAGAGGCCTCCGAAGAGAGCCCCAAGAGGCCAAAATCGTTGATTTTCATTTGTTTTTTCTATGTTTTTTGTGTTCTGGCTTTTTCGGCTTCCGGACGCTCCAAGACGGCCCAAGAGGCCCCCAAGACCGCTCCAAGACGGCCCACGAAGCTCCCAAGACGGCGCCGAAACGACCCAAGAGAGCCCTCAAGACGGCCCAAGTGCCGCCCAAGACGGACCAAGAGGCCCCAAGACGGGCCCAAGAGGGACTCAGGAGGGATACCGAGAACTCAAAAATGGAGCCCTCCGTCCCAGAAGGCGCCCAGGAGGTCCCAAAGAGGCCCCAAGAGGCCTCCAAGAGGCCCCAAGATGTCGCCAAGAGGCCCCAGGAGACTCCCAGGAGGCCCAAAAGAAGCCCCAGAAGGCTTCAAACATGTCTCCCAGGCGCCCCCGAACGGCCTCTCAACAGACCCCAAGAGGCCCCCCAAAGAAGCATCTTGACGACGACTCTATTTCGCCCCATCGAGAGACGACCCCCAGGGAACTGCTTCACCATCAAAACTCCCCACGCAACGTGTCCGAACGACACCCGCCCCCAAGAGCGCAACATGGACAACGAACACACAGACAAAAACCAGCGATGCCATATCACGGGCCGGCGGAATGAGCGAAGCGATTCAATAAACCCCAAGAGCGAAGGAGCACGGCAGAAAAAAACCAGGAGCACGGTATGATAGACCCCAGAAGCTAAGAAGCACGGCAGAATAGGCCCCAAGAGCGAAGGAGCAAACCAGAAGAATACCAGGAACATGGCAGACAGACTGGATAACTCGTCAGTTTCGGCAGACTCCAGGGCACTGTTGGAGCCATCTTGGGCTCCTTCGGGGGTTCTCATCTCTTCGTCTTGAAGCACTTCGAAAACGATGTCGAGGCGAGGTTGCGAACATCTCATTTGTTGCGGATGTCCCCTGCGCTCCTGCGTGTGCTGTCGTGCTCATGTGTGTTCTGCCGTGTTCCTGTGTGCTCTGTGTGTTTTGCCGTGCTCCTGCGCGTTCTGTCGTGCCCCTCTATGTTCAACAGAATCAACCCCAAGGGCTAAAGAACACGGCAAAGAAGGACCAGGAATACGGAACCCAAGAGCAAAGGACCATGGCAGAAGAAAACAAAGAGCACGGCATAATAGCCCCAAGAGCGAAGGAGCACGGCAGAATAGGCCCCAGGAGCGAAGGCGCAGGATAGAAAAAAAAACAGGAGCACGGCATAATAGACCATCTAGGACGATCTTCAAGGCTTTATTCCAACCCGCTCCTTGAGAAGAGTCGCTTCGTCCACCAAGCATGTGAAACGAAATGTGCAATGTTCCTGCGTGTTCTGCCGTGCTCCTGCGTGGTCTGCCGTGTTCCTGTGTGTTCTGTCGTGCTCCTGTGCGTTCTGCCGCGCTCTTGTGTGTTTAAAGTTTACAGGCGGGGCCTTGAAGGCGCTGGGCGTGCACGCCAAATTACGGGCAGGGCCAGACGGGACGGAGTTCCCGAGAGACGCCGTGCCCCAGAGAGCACCGATGGCAGCGCGAGCCTACTCACCACTGGGAGCAAAAGGCGCAAGCCTCACCGATGCAGACTCCCACTCACTCACAGACAGCGGCCGCAATGCGCCTGACGGCGGCGCAACTCGCGGTCTCCGGGTGCCCCGAGCGGCCCCGCACCGCGCTGGCCGCAGGCCCGGCCTCGTGGATCAAGTCCAGCCCCACGCTCTCGGCGCGGGGGCGGCCCTGCCCGCGCGCGCGGCGCATGGCCCCAGGAGCTTGTACTCGGCCCCCATGCACTCCCTGCCTCGCGAAGGCGGTGCTCGTGCTGAGGTCCCTGGCCTGCAAGGTCTTACAGAGAGTCCAGCCCTGCGTCGCCCAGCACCCGCCAGACCGCCGCGCACCGTGGAGCCTCAAAGCGCGGACGGCGGCCAGGGCAGCACTGAGGGGGAGGTAGCCGAACGCGGAGGAGGCGGACCACTTCCAGCCCAGCGCCCCTTGCTGGGAGGCGAACGACTCGGTGGCCAGGCCAACGAAGCGGAGGACGCGCGGCCTCTGGCAGGGCACGCGCAGACCACGAAGCGCCCGCAGGTCGACGCCAAGCTCGGCCCCCCACCGCCTCAGGAAGTCGTGACGCAGGCTCACGTAAAGCTTGGTGATGCCCAGGTAGAGGCTGACGGATGCGTTTCCACGCTCGCACGCAGGAGCGGCATATGCGTTGTGCCGCCAGCCTGCCTTCTCGTGCTCGCGGTCCACCTTGCCCCCAAAGAAGCGGTGGTCGTGCCCCGCCCCCCCCCAGCGCGCCGATGGGCTGCCTCGGGCGGCCCCAGATGCGCATGGGCAGTGGGATGTTCACGATCGGTCGAACTCCTCCATCCGACTCGAGAAAGAAGGCCAGCCTGGCTGCGCGGGCGCCCAGGGGCTGCGGCAGCGCCTCCTGCGCAGCCAGGAGGTCCAGGACGCCCTTCTGCGAGCGGGCCAGCCTCCCCAGGCCTGACGCAGCGTGCACTGCGGCCTCGATCATGCGAAGCTTGAGGTCGCTCGGGACCTGCCGAGCAACCTTCGCTGCCCGCAGGGCGCGGCGAACCGCAGACGCGACGCTGCCTGCGCGAACCCGCGGGCCCTCCATGCCCGAGGGCGCGAGCGAGCGGGGGAAGAACGTACGCCGCATGCTGCGCGCAGCACCTCTGGCCTCCTCTGGGTGGCTCGGGGCGACGCTGGCCTCCTGGAGCCGCCCCTGGCTGGGCTTGGCTCCGCGCCGACAGTCGGGGGCCTCCGTCGCCGCTAAGCTCCTCCTCCAGGCGCCGCTGTACACCCCCAGAGCCTCCTGCCCGCTGTGGTAGGCCTGAGCCGCCGCAGTGGCCTGCCCTGGTGCCGGTGGGGGCGGCACGCCGTTGAGGACGTGGAGCCGCTTGCTGCCGCTGCAGGCCGCCTCGGCGCTGCTTCACGCGCGCAGGCGCGGTCCCGCAGTACTGGCCCCGCTGGGCGCTCGTCCGCCCTGGCTGTGCTCCTCCATCGCTGCTCCCAGCTGCGTGGCCATCGCTGCCCGCAGCTGCGTGGCAAGCAGGACGAGCAGCCAGAGGGGCCAAGTCTGCAGCCTCCGCAACCAACTCCCTCTCGCATGCCTGGGGCACCTGCGGTCATTCGCCGAGGGCGCTGCCATGCCGCTCCGCTTGGTCACGTTCCGCAGCGGGCTGCGGCAGCCAGGGCCCGCTGCTGCCTGCGAGCCCGCCGTCGTCGCTGCTGATCTCGTCCAAGGGGCAGGACTCCGCCCACGGCGCTCGCTTGGGGGCCGACGGGGGCCCTGCAAGCTGCGCCCGCACCGCCTCGATCTGGGCGCGAATGGCCGCCCGTGCCACCTCGAAGTTGCTGGGGCCCCAGGCCTCTGGCAGCTTGTCCAGCTGCGTGAGGAGCCCTGGCACATGGCTGACCCCAGCCCATTCGGCTGCGCGCTGCCGCTGCCGCGCCTCTGCCTCCACACGGCTTGCTTCTTCGAAGACTTGGGGCGCTCTGCTGGCCCCCTCCACCTCGCCGTCGAGCGCCGCGAGCTCCTCCTGGGCCTTCTGGGGCTGCGCCTCCGCCAGGTCCCGCGCCGCCTGCTTCTGCTCAAGGGCTTGGCGGGCTGCGCGGGCCGCTTCTCTGCCTTGCTGATGGCGTTCGCCTCCTTGTGCAGCAGAGCAGACCGCGGCATTGCGGAGGCCTTCTGCTCCGCAGCCTCCCGCTGGGCCCTGGCCAATTCTGCCCTCTTCGCCTCCAGCTGGTCGGCAGCGACGTCGGTGAAGCAGCTGTCGACGCCGTCGGGCGGCCCCGCCTGCAGCGCCTCGAGCCGCTCGACCGTTGCCTGCAGCCTCTCGATCGCCGTGACTCCTCCGCCGCTGGGCGCCCCGCTCGCCGCTGAACCCGAGGTCTGCGACTTGGTGGATGCCGCGCGCGAAGCTGCGCTGCGGGCCTGCCGCTTGGCTCGGCGCCCCCGAGGCTAGTCCACCCAGCCGTCCTTGTCGGCCTCAGGCTTCGCCTTGCCGCGGGGTGACCCCAGCGCCCAGGGCGGCGAAGCATTCCCACAGCTGAGACACGTGGGGCGCCAATCCCAGTTCCAGCTACCGCAGCTGCACATCCAGTATAGCCTGCTGCGCTTGCCACCGCTGCCGCCTCGAGAGGCGCGCGCCATGGCCTCGGCTGCGCAGGCTGACGGCGCGCGCCCCCGCGCCGCGAAGACAGGGAGCTCAAGACAGGAGAGAACTGGCCCATAGCGCGGAGACCCTCGCGCTCAAAGCGCCGCGGACGACTCGCGGTCGTCGGGTTCTCCATGGCCTTGAGCCAAAAGGGCTACGGACCCGCTCTTGTGTGTTCTGCCATGCTCTTACTTGTTCTGCCATGTTCCTGCGTGTGCTGCCGTGCTCCTGTGTGGTTTGCCGTGTTCCCGTGTGTTCTGTCTGGTTTGCCGTGTTCTTGCGTGTTCTGCCGTGCCCCTCTATGTGCGGCAAAATCAATTCCAATAGCTAAACAGCACGGCAAGAAGAACTAGGAATACGAACCTCAATCGCAAAGGACCACGGCAAATGAAGACAAACCGCACGGCAGAATAGACCCCAAGACCGAAGGAACACGGCAAATGAGGCCCCAGGAGCGAAGGAGCATGATAGGAAAAAGAACAGGAGCACGACAAAATAGACCCCAAGAGCTGAGGAACACGGCGGAATAGGCGCCAGGAAAGAAGGAACATGGCCAGGAACATGGCAGAATAGACCGCAAGAGCTAAGGAGCACGGCAAGATAGATACAAGAATACGGCATAATACGCCCCAAGGAAAGAGTATGCAAGGAAAAGACAAGGAGCACGGCAGCATAAACCCCGAAATCGAAGGAGCACGGCAGAATATGCCCCAAGACCTAAGGAGCACGGCAGAAAAACGACCAGGAGCACGGCATCATAAGCCCCAAGAACAAAGGATTGTGACAGAAAATGGCCAGGAGCATGGCAGAATAGGCCCGAAGAGCGAAGGAGCACGGCACAAAAAAAACAAAGAGCATTTCAGAATAGACCCCAGGAACGAAAGAGCACGGCTGAATAGACGTCAAGAGCGAAGGAGCACGGCAGAACTGCTCATGATCTGCCTTGCTCTTTTTTCGCCGGCCATGCTCCGCCCGATTGTGTTGAGGATGTACGCAGCGAGAGCGCGATTTTTAACACGAGAGGTAATCAAAGCGCCACTCCAAGATATCATTGTTGTTAACATGTCTCAGGCGAGACACCCGTTTTTGAACATCTGTCGAATTCGCGGCTTCCCATGTTTAAGGGATGTCTCAGGCGAAACGCTCACTTTTGATGAAATCGATGTTGTGAGCATTTCATTTTTGTAAGGATGTCTCAGGCGAAATCGCCATTTTGGATCGTCTCGAGGGCGCTCCTGGGGGTCAACTTTGGGCTTGTTTGGTACCTTGGGGGGCCTTCTTGATGCCTGACAAAACCGTTGCAGTCCGATGTTACACACATTCATGTGTTTCAGGATGTCCCTAGCGAAATCGTCATTTTTAGATGACTGGCTTAAACCATTTAGAAGCCTTTTCAGGAGCGATCCCCAGACGATGTTAAAACAGCAGTTTTCACAACGAGGTTGTTCGATTTGTTTTTTGTCGAAGATGTCCCTAGCGAAATCACTATTTTCAGCAACCTTAAGGGCGCTCTTGGAGCCATGTTGTGGCCTTATTTTGCTTCCTGATGCCCTCCTAAAATCATTACGATGCGATGTCGCACGCATCAATCTGTTGAGGATGTCCCTACCGAAATCGACATTTTTTGAAGGCTGCCTTGGACCGTCTGGAAGCCTTTTCAGAAGCAAAGTCAAAACTATGCAAGAACAACAGTTTTCAAGTCGATGCTGGTGTATGTTTTCACTTTTTGAGGATGTCCCTAGCGAAATCGCTATTTTCGGAAGTCCCCCAATCGTTCTGACAGCCATCTTGACGTGCTTTGTGGCATCTCATTTCGCCATCTTGAGGTACTTCGATAACGATATCAAGACGACGTTGAGGACATCTCATTTTGTTGAGGATGTCCCTAGCGAAATGCACAGTTTCTGCCGTGCTCTTCGTTCTGGTCCGCCGTGCTGCCGCTCGTTGTTTTAGGATGTCTCGAGCGAAATCGCAATTCTTAACATAAGAGTTAGTTGAAGACTTCAAGTCGTCATTTCATTTTTTCGAGGATGTCCCAAGCGAAACACAAATTTTCACAGCCGGCGGCGAAATTTCGCAGTCATCAACTTTTCGAGGATGTCTTGAGCGAAGCGCTTGTTTTTGTTAAACGCGATGTCGCGAGGATCTCATTTTTGTGAGGATGTCTCAGGCGAAATCGCCATCCCGAGGAATCCGCTAAGCCTGTATACCGTGCGCCCCGCCACCCCCTATAGTTAAGAGATCTCTTACTGATATGAGGAGGATTCAGCCAAAACGTCCAGCTCGCTTCTCGTTCCTCGAAGACGCTTCCCGTCAACGCCTCCCCCAGTAGCAAGGTCCGGCCAGTTTGGAGGGGGGGGCGGGGGGCAAAGGTGCCATCAGGCCCCACGAGGCCCGACGGCCCAAGAGGCTCCCGAGACGCCCAAGGGTCGGCCCAAGACGCCCAGGATGGCCCCAAGACGGCCCCAGAAGTCTCCCAGACGGCCCAGGAAGCCTCCAAGAGGATTCCCAAGAGGGGCCCCAGAGGCCGTAATCGTCGAATTCCGACGGGGAAACCTACATTTTTATCATACACGACGTTTCGGCCTTCACGGTGTTGAAGGCGGCCCCAGAGTCCCCCCAAACCGCCCCCAAACGGCCCAAGAGGCTCCAAAGAGGCGCGCTCGAAACAGCCCAAGAGGGCTCCAAGAAGGCCCAAGACGCTCCCAAGACGGCCCAAGAGTGCCCTAAGACGGCCCAAAGAAGGCCCCAGCGAGGCCCCTAAGAGGCCCCCCAAGAGGCCCCCAAGAGGCCTCAAGAGGCCCCCAAAAAGTTCAAAAGAAGCCCCAAGTAACACTTGAAGCATGTAACTTCTCACCCGCCACCCAGGCACCAAGGATCTCAGGCCGGCAACCAAGGCACGGTGGTGGGATGGGCCGAAGGCCACTACGTACATACACCTATATATATATATATATATATATATATGTATATATACATATGTATAATTATATATATATGTATATATACACACATTATATGTATGTGTGTGTGCGAACTGCCGCGGGCATCTACCTCGATCGAGAAGAAGAAGGGGAGAAGGACGGGATGAAGAAGAGGAGGAGGAAGAATAGAAAAACTCGTCGCCGCCGATGTCTCACGGATTTCCGTGGTCTTTCGGCCACCCGAGGCATCTCCTCGAATTCGGCCTCCAGGAACCGTTTTCGGTGCCAGGGACCACCGCCGAGAGTCCAGGATGAAGATGGACCTCCCAGGCCGGTGGCACCCCTTCGGAAAGGAAGGAGCACGGGGTGGATCGAGGCTCGAGGCATGAGACTCCTAGTTCTTGGGCGCTCTCCGCCCCCTCTGGGCCTTCAGGGCGCTCCTCGTCGACCCAGCTGGGTCCACTCTCGAATTTCTGGCCAGACGCAACCACAGCTGGGTCTCAACGATCCCCGAGCCTATCCAGGAGGTGGGGAAGGAGGCCTGGGACAGGCCCCGTGAAGGCCCCGAGAAACTCACATAAAACAACGACAAACTTCAAAACAATTCACTACAAGGCCCCCCCTTGAACCCCACACGCCACGTAGGACTGGCCGAAACCCCAAGATTGCCCAGCGATCGCGCGCGTTCCGCGAATTCTGCCTTTCACTCTTGCTGCCGCCCCAAGGGGTCGGCAGTGCGGCGTAAGCCAATGAATCGATAAGTCGCACCGGCGACCCAAATGAATCGGATCGGCGGAAATCGGCAACCACGTCGGGAAAAATCGAATCGGCGGAAAACGGCAA